CTCATGAGATCTTGGATGCCTAGCTCGAAGCTTATTATTCGGGTCTCATTGGAGTGCCTGGAGTGGGACGTCATTCAGACGTCTTCCCACATGTTCCCTATCCATCTCCTGTTTCTTTGGCTTATTCGCCAGGCAACGGCTTCTTTTTTAGCTAGATGTCAGAGTTCCTCGTTGCATATTAAGTCCTACCAACTTATATGAGGTATGAAGAGAAGATGACTGTCAATGAAAGTCATCGGTAGTCTGTCGTAAGTGCTTTTAGTGACATGCGTGCCAAGTCTCTGAACCACACAGAAGGACCGACTGTACATTAGTGTTAAAAACCAACCCTGTGTTTTCCACATTGATTTCAGATTAATGGAGGTCTATCTTGACTTCATGATCCTGTCTGGCTTTGAAATCCTCGTCTGTTATCCCTGAACTGCTAAGATAAGTGGAAGCATTATTGTTATCACCTCTACTAAACATTTACTCAAAGTACCACCTTCGCTGCTTATTCTTCCAAATTATGGTTTTTCCTGTAGATCTTCGAGGTTTTATGACAATAAAGATCAATCATCCACGGAGTTCATAGCTTCTGGAATCTTTCGAACGGTCAAGTGATTACTGCCCCCTGCCTCCTCACAGTCTGCTGCGTTATCAAGTCCACCAGATTTAAAATTATCGTCGGTAATAGCTGGTAGCCTAGGCTCGCCCTTGTCTTCAATTCAAAGGCCGCTCTGTGCCTTGCACTCTGAATCCCTTGACATGTGATATCATAGATAGGAACAAATATCTATATATTATACAGCCACTGAATTACGTTAATAAATGTTTGGGACACCCCATGTTTTGGGAGCAGTTTCCAAGTCGCTCCGTGGTCGACCATGTGAAAGACCTTTACATGGTTGATGCAGTTGAAATAGAGATTTGACTGCCACTGAATGGCCTGTTCGATGATGATGCACGCAGTTACCATTTGATCCGCTCATGATTTGCCTTTGATGAGTCAAGACTATGTGGAGTGGGTTTTCATCCCCAGATTACCTTTCAGTCTCTCTAAAATGACACAACTGAATATTTTGATTTGCATGTTAAAAATTAGCATAAACAGCTTCACTTACTAAGGAAGCTGATATATGGAGATTAGAATTTATTGATGAAGACTAGCATCCTTTAACAGCTACCTCACCTACATCTGGTAAGTTTTTCACTACGTTATCATTTCTTAATTTTTCAAAAGAATGCAGCGACCATTCTTTTGTTCCTTGAGATCCTAGTTGTCCACAGTGAGTTGATCAGCAAAGAGAAAAATTGATCACTGAAAGCTAAATAGCTGGGGTCAAATTGAACTAAGGAATTTTTTTGATCCCGTATATCCAGACAGGTATATGTTAGAGTGATGAAAGGATCTTTAAGTTCCGGATTTCGCAAATCACTAACGTCTCGCGTCTCATCAACTGGAAGATTTACAGGGAAAAACCAACATGTTGGCGCAGGATACAGGTGAAGAAGAAGGCAGGTGGTTAAGACATTCAGCCAACAGCAAGCACCAATCATCATTAATGAGAGAAGTCTGATGGTAGCTATCACTTCCGCTTATCTTGGTAACATCACTTCAACCGCTTGCGTCAAGAAAAGGGACGTCGCTGACAGGATAGATACCAGTTGTTTCTAAATCAGTGTGGAGATCTGCAGCAATCTGCATAATGAACACAATCACGATATTATAAACACTGATGCAAGTTAGGTGCTTTTACATGGTCCAAGGACTTTATACAAGCTATGGAAAGCATTTCAAACAGGATGCAAACTTTCATCACCAACTGCCTCTACTAACCCGGCGCTGAAGATCTAACGGACAGCTAGTTGGCTAGAAATGACAAGAATCAAGGAGCTCTGATGGGCAGTAGACTAGCTGAAAACCTACTCCAATACAAACGCGGAACGGAGATACCCTGGATATACACTGACAAGAGTGTTGATTGATATAACGTGCCAGGCAAGCACTCTAGAGGAAGCGCGTACCAAGCGACGAGTTGGGCTTTGGAGGCAGAAACGACGAAGATCATGTGTGGAGGAAGTGCAATCCTCCGTACAACTATGAAAACGAAAATAGACGGAATGCAATCGATACACGCTGAATAATAATGCCATGATTATATAGTCTTCCATCAAGATATTCGTAAACTTCGATGAAGATATGTTTCTGTCGTTCTCCTTCGTTTCTGCTTGACCTGACGTGAATTAGGAGGTCCAGTTTACCAGTCTGCATTTAGAATATTAAACGGTTAAATCAGAGTAAGTGTTAAGCCTGGACCGAAGTGACCGGAAGAGAATTGGGTTTAGGTAACATCGGCTGTTCAGGAAAGACTGCATAACGGCACTTCGTTTTAATCATTCTCCATGATCGATGTACTGCTATTAAAAGGCGAAGGCTGGGAGACCAATGAAGCCGGTCATTTACCCAATAATTTTAGAAAGGGTCTCTCTAAGAGACAATGTTTCTGCTCAAAGCAAGGCCCGTAGAATATGTGACAAGTCAAATGAAGATGCAGACTAATGACAACTCTTACACGGTTCTAGTCGGCTGAGTTAGCACTAGATAACTTTATACAAAGGCTCCCAGTTATATTCAGGCAAACATCAAGGACATTTATCGACTCAAAGAAATTGGATTGGTTGGTAGATGATCACATTAGAGAAAAACCTATGAAATCGTTATGCTCTGTCCACCTAATTTTGTCGCAGGACAAGTAGGCATCCTCCTCGGATATAAGTATCCCAGCTCGCGTAATCTCCACTGATTTCTCGATGGCACTGATTACAGTTCAAAGTTACAGCTTTCTCACATACAATCAAGCAAAAAAGATAGATGTCCTCTCCATTAGACCCTCGCAGTAATTTGATCTAACAGAATTCCTTACGGAAGGCAAACAAACCCAATCACCTTGGGATTCTTCGGAGTTTCGAAAAGGACTATCATATTATGGTTCGGCGACTTTTCACGCTGTCTGAATTATCTAACGGTTTTTATACCATCGACACAGATTCAGGCAAAATTCATTGTGCTCGGACATGTTACAAGCAAACCTGATGGCACTGGAAGATAAATAAAGATTTGCCAAAGCTTCTCCTGGACTGTGACAAGTGATCAATGTCAGGATAGCAACCTTGCGAAAACTGACCTACTACCTTCGTGTAATTCGTGTAAGTTAACTCTAACTTAGGCTTGATGTTACTGAAGAACCTAGGTAACAGTGCGAACTACTTGGAGGAATTGTCCAGGGCGCATTTCACGTCAAGTTTCATACGCAGACGGCAAACTTCTCAGTGCTTTACAAGACATATGGCGCTCCATTTGAAGGCCTATGCGATCACCCCACTGATATCCGCGGGAGCTCCGGGATACCGAAAACAGAGAGAACAGCGCGATGAGGGGGATCTCAGCCATTTATTGTTAACCATGCATTGATGGGCCATGAAAAGTTTCGAAATGGCCACCACTTGCAATATTCCTCAATCAAGACGATCTTTTATCTGGTAATCGTGATCTGACGAGTAACAACCCTAAAATAATCTGTAGTCAGATGACCGAACGAGGAGTTGTTCCCAACATTTTGTCGTTTTGTTTCCTCGTCCCTTAGGAGCTGCTTAGGACGGCTATTATGTGATCAAGTGATTACATGCATACGAATTAAGTCAAACTGACAGTAGGATCGTTGAAACCGTGAAGAAATCGCCACAAATGACTCTGCTGATTATAGCTACTACTAAACGTTGTCCAATTATCACAGCTCCTATGCTCCTTACAACAGGCAACTTCACAAGATGCGCATAACTCTAATTGATACAGCCACTGTACAAATAATTCTCAGGGAAGATACACAATGGCAGGCTTCAACCCAAAATGCAAAACAAACCAGATCGTCCTAAATAGACATGCATAATAACCAAAATCGTTGGAGATATTCAGCGAAATCTATTATGAGGTTATCTGGCATCCAAATATCAAGAGAACAATGGCTGTATACAAAATGACTCGCAGTTCACATAAAATGTACAGTAGTTCAAAATTTAACTACAAATGGCCACATTTAAATAAAAATAACAAGATGCTGTATTACATACAACTTTAGCAATTGAAGGTACAATATTAGTCGTAACACTTATATCCACTAGTTTGTCTTTTTGACCAAATTTTTGTTTCCTCATTAAAAGTACTTTTGCTAACGTCAAAGCAGTTATCACCTCATTCGTTTTAGAAATAGTAAGTGAGCGACTTAGCAAAAGCCAGAGCAGAAACCATTCCTTATGATCAAAAAGACTTGAGCCAACATTTGAATTCACCAGCGCTATGGAAGTCGTCTGTGAGCAAGTGAGAAGGATCAAGTCTACCAGAAATGAGGGACAATTTATTCATTGCCAAGAAGTGCAGTGTCCACAAATCAATTTCGGACGAATTTAGGCTGTAATAGTAACCCTGATACATGACCCTAGACAACGGATCAGTTACATTTTTTTATATTCCTTCACGTTCCCAGTGGAGGCTTGAAGTTTCTGTAGCAGTTTTCATTTTTACAGGATGGGGTTGCTAGCCACATGCCCAACCTATCCTCTTCACCAGCTTTTAGTTCTGGCTTAGCGAGGTTTGGGAGTGCACCGGTGAGGGATCGAACCCCGGACCATGTGCATGGTCGGCGAGCGTCCTAACCGCTATGCCACTGACGCACATTAGTTACATTTGGTATAACCAAATGAAAGCCATTCTATTATTTAATCTGTTTCGGTTTCACCTAAAGAGTTTTAAGAAGACTAAGTGTATCCGAGTGGCTGCTACAGTTAAACGTCGCCCAATTTATTCTAGAATAGGTTATGATAACGAATGCTGAATATTGAATGCATGTGTCTGCTGCGTTAAGATTCATTTGGATTAAGTGAAACATTCGCTTTAGAAAATTGGAAAATTTACTTAAAGCCGAATGATTGTGACCGCAATCTGAATTTCAGAATGAAAATTTGTTTGTTAAGGTCAACGTTCATGGTCCAATCTGAATAAGGATATAACCGCATAATATGAAAAAATATCTAGTTATGGTGAACATTATGTGTTTTTTGCACTTCTCTGTACTGCGTTTTTTAAATTATAATGAAATTTAACATAAGTTAAGCACGTTTGTTACAATGCTGTCTTGAGTAAATCACCGGTTTTTTATTAATCCGAAGCTTTTAATAATGGTAAACCGATTTCGAAGTGTGCTTTGATAATGTGGTCTAATGCTATGTGAACATCCTGAGTGCTTAAATATATCACTTAATACAGAATTTGTGTGGTGTTTGCCGAAGTAATGGTAGTCAATACTGAAAAATTTGAAATAATGCTGAGTAAAATGTCAGTAGGCGCTGAACTAATGTGGATAGTGAAGAAAAGTGTTATGAGGTGTTATTCTGTGAGTTGTATCAAATCATTGATTAGTTTATTTGGTTCGGAATTTGCGAGCATTGCCTCAGCATTATTTGTAGCTTAGGCAGATTTCGCAACCATGACTTCAGTAGTATTGCAAGCTTGGGAAAGCTACGTGTGACAATTCTATCAGATAGACTTGACACATGCATTCGCCCGCACTTGCTACTCATTAAGAGTGAAAACATCGACGTTTACTACTTAAAAGTGATAACTGATTGAATCACTAATTTACCTCTGTTGCTTTGGTTCCCAATGGGTGAGGTGGTCTGTCTTTTGTATGTTTGTGTGTGTGTGTGTGTGTGAAAACCGCTCACTCACTCCCTAAAAACCTGTTTATAATTTACCACTACTAATAAAGATTTAGTAAGTGACTTCTATATCCGTTTGTCGGATCCTCATTAGTCACACTGACAAGTAAATTTAAGCAAACCAACAAATAGAATGTATAGTCGAAGCGGTAAACAAACAAAGATCAGCAAACAAAAGGCGATAAACACAAAGTTAAACATCTTGACTTATTCTTATCAGTTCATCAGTCTGAAAAATGAAACATTTCCCGTTAACCCTACTGAATTTCCACTGATTTGCCTGTATCAAAATGTTTAGAAATGAATTCTTGAAAATCCTGGGAGAGGTCATAAGGCGGGACTGACACAATGTGAATACTTTTAGGCAACTTATAGTATAATAATGTAACGTTGTTACAAGTCGACGGAAATTTATAAGATTAGTTCATTTGAAATACAATTTAAGTAGTTACTTGTGGAGTTTTCGTCAGCCTTTTGGACCCAAAATATATAAATTTCTAAGCCAGAATAGTAGTTGTCTACTATGTTTCGTCCTTGCTAAACTGATCTTTTTCAGTATCGTGTTGATAAATCTATGTATATTTGTGGAATGTATGTGGAATATTATTGTTTATTGAAACTTAGAATAAATGTTTGGGCAGCTAAGCATGTCATTGTTGTAGGACAAATGTGAAAAACTCAATAACACTCCTTTTTTCAACTAATTCGCCCATTTAATCGGGTTATCTGGCATTATTTTGATCCAGTTAGCGAAGAAACTTTATCAAGTGCAAAATCATTTTTGTCGAAATGTACTTTATCCTGCATATGAACACTTTGTTTACACTTAAACGATAAGTTGGTGTTCACAAAGCAACCTCAGCTGGACGAACACAAAAACAAGCGAAACTTCGATCCCATTACATTGTAAACTCTGACACTGACGCAAAAAGGTAAAAAAACGAGAGATGAAAGTCACTGATACTAGAGCTATAGTCAGTGTGAAGAAAACGACAAACATATACTCATTTGTTGATTGTAAACAGCATATACCTTTTCTCGGAATATTTAGCTGTAAATCTTCAAACATGAACTGAGAAGCCTACAATTTATTTCAATTCTTAAAAGAAAAGTTCACACATTAAAAGTGGAAACTTGTGTTAGCCGATATCGCTTTTTGTGCCATTGGGTAATGTCTTCTGTCTTCTTTTGCCACTGTTCACATTATAGCCCTGCCGCCTTTTTCCATCCATACTACACTGACGGTGAGTTTTGATATTAAGCTGGAGACCCAATACCTGGTTTATAATATGTGGAGTTCAAATTTTAAGCTAGTTGGTGTTTAGCGAACCGAGTGGACCTTGGAAGCTTAAAACTGTACCTGTACTTAATCATGGAATGTGACAGATGAGTGTAAACTTTGCTGAGTGAGGCATCTTTAGTATAGTTATGAATGTGAAGCAGAATATAATTGGATGAGATGTCCTAGAGATAACAGGATTAATTTAAATAAAAGCTCATACTCCTTAAAAAACAACTAAATTTGTAACTAATTTGTAAATCTCTGGTTCTATGACAGTATTGTTCCATTCACACTACCACATTTAAATATCATTCAAACAGTGAGCTACTTTTTGAAAATCGAATTCACGAATTCTGGAGTTGCGGCAATGCTAAATTATTATAGGGATACATGGTTGTATTCCACGCACATTGAATAGGTAGTCGAGCGACATCACAAGCCAGGCTCTCGAGTGGAACCCGAGTGGGAAACGACGAGTTGGGTATCCAAGGGTGACATAGAGAAGATTATTTGAGGAGATAGAAGCCTATGAACGTACGTGAGGCCAGATGAAGACGACTTATAGAACAGGATAAAATGCTTATGTGCTGTTGAAGCTGTATATCCTATTCTAAACCGAAGGAATTAGTAAAATTAAGGTGTTAGTATCATTCAGATATCCGAACGTTATTCATAATTTACCTTCAGAATAAAGGCGGTTGCATTTATACATTCTCTTAAGGTCGTTTTCCCACTCAATTTACATTGTATGGCGTTCTACATTTAATTTTATACACAAGTTTTCATCACCGCTCATATTGAGAAAATAAAACTTTGTCGCCTGAGCAAACACAAAAAGGAAAATAAATCTTTAAAAACAAGCTACATCTAAGTTATCGCTTATAAATTATCTTCTACAAAACTTTAAATAGGGCCTGTTTTTGAATTTTCGATACTATGCAATATCAGCTTTTTAACTAAAGACATATTTATCTAAGTTATAATCATAAGTTAGGTCAAATGAATGTATTCGAGCAGTTATTTTCATCATATTTGTTCTCATTACCATTGTACTAAAGTGGTGGTTTTTCTCTTTCCGCTCCCATTAGATACGTTTTAATCATTAGAAAAAGATGTTATTCAGTTTTCTACATTTTCATTGAAAATTCACAATTATCAGAATGTCTCTGCAAAAAACAGCTCTTGTTGCTCTGTTGTATATGTGTTTTTCCGTTTCTATAATTTTCTCAAACAAACTAGTGCTTACTACCTTCAAGTAAGTATGCATAATTACTCATATTTTCATAATAGATTTCCTTCATATTTATTGCTTGCTTTGCTTCAAGTCAGTCCCTTGGAAGATAGATTAAAACTTTGCTTTTAGACAGTGTTCACTTTTATACTCATTCAGGCTTTATGCTCATCTCGAATTCAATCAGATGATGTAACAAATATCCCTTTAAAGGTACTTCATAATGTGCTTTTTCAGATTGTAATTTAATATAGATCCTACCATTGTCAATATTTTCTGCAGTAGATATTGTAATGGGTATTGCTGGCACAGGAAGTCTCAGGTAGGTGATCTTGTTGTAGACTTACATTCTTAGTTTACCTTTGTTTACAGCTTTACGAAGGCTCTCAAACCTTTTTATTATGGTTGGAGAATATTTCTTATTAGGGTAACAGTGTTTTTTTATTTTTGATAATTTTTTGCACCAACAGGACTAAAAGAAACTTCCCTATATATTTATCAGTTGTTATTATGGTAGCTGGGGCTGCAGTAGCCGCTGTGTAAGTTTCTGTTGCGTATTATCTTCATACTTCAGTGGTGATATCGCTTTCGATCCAGTGGGATATACATATATTCTTGTCAACAATATATCAACAACCGGTAAAGCACTGTTAACAAAATCTAGACTTCGAGATTATAATTTCTCAAGTATCGAACTTCTGTACTTCAATTCCTTGTTGATGCTGCCGATTCTTTCTATTTTAGTTTACATTAGATGTGACTATAATGCGGTAAGTACTCTAATTTCTTCCTTTATAATGCACGCATTCCGTAAACACTCTAAGGTGAACATTGAGTTCATCCACTTAAGTACTCGATTTTTTAACAAATGCATTATGAATGGAAACTCTACTTTGTCAACTTGAGTTTTGATCATTTGGGCAGTACTGCATTAACTGTGCCTTATAGCCCACTAAGTAAAAATACTTTACATCAAGTGTTGAATGCGTCTTGCATTTCGAATACCAATGTTTCTCATGATTTTATGGGATATAAGAATCTTTCGCGCAAATGAAACCAATCAAAATACTAATTTGAACAATAGATGATTCTAGTTCTTAATAGCAGCCTAAATAAGCTAGTCTAGACGTCTGCGATTGTGACATTGAGCTGATTGGATTAACCTCCCAAATAAATTGTGATGAGCACTGGTATGATTTCACTGTATAGGTACCGGAGTTATAACATCTAAATTACATACTGGGATAAAACCTGACACATTCCTTAAGATAACTAGTTGTCCTTTTTTAGTTCACAAAATTGTAAAACTCACAGTTTAATACACTGAAGTTTACCTGATAAGTGAATTTCTTTTTTTCTCGCGTGTACAAAAGCCTTGAGGCTCAACAGTATTATTCTTCTGCTAAGACTCAATCACTTATTATATTACTATTATTGTTCTGTTGGGTTCCTAGTGGAACATAGGGATTCAACTGCACGCCTCCACTTGTTTCTGTCTTCTGATGTACTTTTCACTTGCATCCATGTTAGTCCATACTGTTTCAGCTATTCTTCAAACGACCTCCTCCATGTCACCCTTGGATGTCCCACTCGCTGCTTTCCTTTCGGGTTCCACTCGAGGGCCTGACGCGCGGTGTCACTCAGCGGCCTCCTCAGGGAGTGTCCAATCCATCTCCACTTTCTCCTGCATATTTGTTGGGTGATTGGTTCTTGTTTTGTTTGTTCCCATAGTTTCTTGTTGGTGATTCTTTCCGGCCATCTGATCTTCAGCATAGAACGAAGACAGTTGTTGATAAAGGTCTGCAACCTGTTGCAAATATTCTTTGTGAACCGCGAAGTTTCTGATCCGTACAGAAGAACTGACTTGACGTTTGTATTGAAAATCCGAATTTTGTTGTTGATGCTGAGTCGAGTGACGAAGATTTCCAGATTGGTTTCAGGTTGATGAATGTGTTTCTCGCCTTCCCGATTTGACATCCTCAATCATACAAAGTGAAATTTCAGTTTCCAACTGAGTAGTCGATATACAGTATGCCTAGTAATTAAATGACTGACGCAAATCACATAGATAAAACACTGGAAAGTAAAACTTGTTATTATAACGGTGGATAGTACGAAAAATGATCTGAATTGGCCAAATTTTGAACTGTCTTCGGCCGGCATATTTATTGTTTATGTAACTGAACTTCTTTGACGGTAATTTGTGGCGTACGTTTTGTTGTCCATGAAAGATAACTTAAAAAATAAAGAATTTTTTTCAATGCTGTTCAAATTAAGTTTGGATTTTCAGGTGTTGGCTTACAGGAATTTGACTGATTTCAAGTTTTCTAAAATTAGTTAGATGATCTAGTTATTGCTGGGTAGTGAGTAGCAATCAGTGTAGATATAATATTATCAGATTCGTTGTCGCAGTATAATTCAGCTGACACATTGGTCATTCGGGTAATCAACAGGATAGACTAATAGTCGTATGATCAACAACAGCCTTTTTCTTAAATATCAAACAAATCAAGTAACAATTGTTCTACTTTCTTTCACACTTACAGTTTTCACAATAAAACAAGTGAGTGAGATTAATAAAATAAAGCGAAGCAACGTCATACTCTTTCAAATAGTATTCACTTTCAAAGCTCTTTACACTACCAGTTACTGTGAACAGACTTTTTTTGCCAATATGTAACAAAAATGGAATACAAACTATAATTTTGATCTTATAGCATAAATACAGCAAGTTATGCATTAAGTATCTGTTGCAGGATCCGATAACAGCGGTATAAAGAATTACAGATCGATGAATAAAATGCCAAAGTTATTCATCACACTGATATGATAGAGTTTGACGTTAGATGGCTGAAGGTGACTGGCAGAAAGATGTAGCGGTAAGTAGCACACAGCAAAATGAGCAGATATATCTTGTTGCTTGGTGATTTTTGTATGGATCGGCTAGCTTCTATTATTACATCCTCAAATGAAACAGCTAAAACATAAACGACGGACAGTCTGTAAGTAATATAAATTGCTATACATAAGAAATTTCATTTTCACAGTCGTAATCCTGTGGCTGTTAATGCAAAGCATTCTGGTCTGTAGTTATCTAATTTTAAACAATGAAGTGAGTATTTGGCCAGCTGGATATAAAAGAGTAATTCAGCGTCTTAGTTAGAACCATAATTGTGATTGTGTTTTTCTTCAAGATATTTAATTACCAAGTGTTGGCTTTTATAGGGATTTAGTTTGATTGGTTGGAGGATTTCATCAAGAGCTGACATCAGTTAGAGAACTATTCGAAAACCTGGGAGTACTGGACAGCTGTTGGCAGAAGTTACAATTCATGGGCCGTTGGATCGGGTCCCAGTAGCCTAATGGTCTACTAGCTCGCCTTGTAACCGGAAGCTCCTGGGTGCGTACTGATGAAGAGTCCCAAAACAGGACGAAACAGCTATCCAGTACCCCGAGGTTCTCCAATGGTTCTCTAACTGATGTCAACTCATGATGAAATCCTCCAACCAATATTTAATTACGTAAGGTAGTGATGTCACCTTATTTCATGAGATGCATACCAGAAAAGTCAACTTAGCAAATATAACATGTTGTTACAGTGTATCTTTACATCTCTCTCATTTAAAAAAATATTTCGGAGATTATAAATCAGTTATCACGTTCTTTAAAACAACCACGAAATGATTTCAAGAAAAGAAGACATCTTAACTTATATCAGTGTATGGTAAGAGATCAAGACGTCACGGTGTTTGTAAAGTGTTCACTTGTGGTGTTTTGTTCAGCATTGAAAACAGTTGTCATTAACAACATCTATCACCACAAACTGAAAGTAACTGGATAACTTCTGAAGATCAGAAGTTACTGAATACCATGAAGTGTGTTCATGGTATTCAGTAAATGATGGCTATCATTTCTAGACGTAGTTCATACCTCTCTTTGAAGAATATAACAGCTGAGTAGCATTTGTCATTTCTGAAGGTGAATAAAATGCAATAAAACGATCCCCACAAGCATAACGTCTGAATATCAAAACGATGTTAATATTTTTGCTGAAATTACAGTCAGAGGTCATGGCCAGTGTAGTGAACACTGTCACATGTGAAGATAATAATGAATAGGGCTGAATAGTGGTTTCCTTGGCTCAAAATTTAATGAAAATTGGATAGTATAGACCGTCTGATTCTTACGCAGTAGTTGATGAATAATTCCAATTGCAGTGAAACAACTCTTCGGTGCCTGTTAGTTTTCAGTCGTTTTCTGGATAATATCACAGTTTGTAAAGAAAATGATTCTCCGGCAGTTTGTTTTTCATGGCTAAAAGTAGTGTATACTTTAATACATTTGAAATTTATTCTTCTTATGAATAAGACACCTCTTAATAGATCGTTACTTTTCGTAGGCTAGTTATCTTCGTTAATGAGGAAAGGTATTTGGACATTAGATTATCTGATTTCAGATGGCTGTAGAGTGTTTCCTCTATTTTTTTTTACCATTTAGAATAAGAGAATAACATCTGCAAGTCATGCTTTGATTTATTTTTATTTTGAGATGAACTTCAATATGCTGGTCATATATTTACAAATCCTCCTGTCTGAACTTAGGAATTTCACGCGTAGACTGTTCTGTTAGAAATATTTAAATCCTGGGGAACAAAGAGAACAGACCAGAAAATGAAGTATCTTATTAAACGCATGTCAATCAATCAGGTGTCTCAAATTTAACAGTCATCAACAGCGAGTTAAGAGAAAAACCTGATACTAGACCTTTATTTCACTGGTTCCCTTTATATATATATAAAAAAACATAATGCGCTGAAGTCTTACTGTTTAGGTAGGATTTAAAAAATGATCATTTATTAAATTGGAAGTATGTACGCTTGGGAATTTAAATTAAGAAAGACTTCAGTATATAATTCTGTGTACGTCTATCATATATCCGTATGCTCATATTATTATTATTATTTTCTTGTAGATTGTCCAATTCGAATACTGGTTGGATCCTGTGTTTTTGTTATATTTCCTATTCTCCTGTTGTTCAGCTGTAGCATTAAACTATTCCCTTGTTCAATGTACCCAGCATACATCTGCACTGACAACTAGTATTTTGGGGGTTATCAAAGTGAGTTATTATTTTCTATTTTTTTAAAATTTTTGATTACAGCTTGATGCCACACCGTATTATAGATTTAAACTTAAGGGACTTTTGAAGGATGCTTAGTTTATTGTGTTCGACAGTAGGAAACCCTAGTCGGCCTCCGTTGCATGGTTGTCGGTACTAAGCAAAGTGTATCTACATTGTTGCAGTAAGTTATGCATTATTTAACTGCGAACCTGTGTCACTTAGTACTGAATTTTACAAATTCACCGCTGGACTATGCCTATCATAACTGATCTCATATAGAACTTATTGGTACACATGAACTGGTTGTCGAATAGTTGCTAATGTGTAGTTGTTTTGTCCTAAGCTTGCTGGTTGGAGTTCATCGGTCGAGTTTAGAACGTGGTAACGGAGTTGATCTATGCAACACTGTTGTATACTGTGTCAGTATGTCGACAGCTTCAGGCTGATTGATCCTACCATCTGATATTAACGCCGAAGTGACAGAGCATCATGCTACTTAGCTTAGTTAGTGGTTTGTATTTTGCCATTGTGATGAAATTAGTATTGAGCCTAATTCTTTATAAATTATTATCAATGACATTTTCACTTGGTAAATTATTTTTTATTGCTTCCTTTCCAAGTATAAACAACACAACTAAGTTAACAGTGTAAAGTTCACGCAAAAATTGGCCGCACTTATTGGGTAAAGATAAATGAGATTTTGAAAGATTGATTACTGAACAAAGAATATTCTTTTCGATCACCTCTTCATCAGGTTCTACAGTTATATATCCATAATAATGAAAGAATTAGGGTTATTAACAACATTACTATTTAAATTACATTGAATCGATACTATCAACAGGTTGTAGTTCAGCAGCATCCATAAGTGTGATGATATGCATCAACATAACACTACACTGAATATCAGACAAATTAATTACCGAATGCTCCAAACAGCAGAGGCTATTGTGATTAGCCTAAAACAACCGGCGTGCAGAAGAAACAGGTTCAACTAGCCACTAATACGGCCCTGGCCATATGTGGAGCGGTAGAATGCTTGCCGACCACGCATGTGGTTCCGGGTTCAATCCCCGCTGGACGCACACCTTTACCTCGATAGACCAGTAATAAGACTGGTAAAGAGAGAAATTTGGACATGAGGCTAGCAACCCCATCCCGTAGAAATAAATACCACTGCTACCGAAACTTCAAGCCTCTAGCTTGAAGCCCTATGTCCCACTGGGAACTTAAAGGAATAAAATAAAAACGGTCTTATTATAATCAAACGATTACGAATGTAATGTTTCTCTGAGAAAATAACTACACCTCCTTTTTTAAAGGACTTTCAGAGTGTAAAGGCACAAACTTTAGTATAATGCCACAAGATATGTTCTATTTCTCTGTCTCTTATATTTATTTTGACAGAATATTTTGGTCACCTATGCAGGAATGTTTGTCGGTGGAGATTACATTTATACAACACTTAATTTTGTCGGTCTTACTATAAGGTATGTTTCAATGATAATATATCTAGTTTTTGTATTTCTTGTATATCCGGCAATTTAATTAAACGGATATAGATTAGCTCGCAAATATGCATTCTGTAAGGTAAAGTCACTGATGTTGACAGGCTTTATTGAAAACATATACTTAGTTTAATTCCTATACACTACTTAGACTAAAGCCGGGTAGAAAACTAAAAGTTTTGTGTACGCTATTATTTATGAGTTGTTTGAATGTGGATATCGAAAAATAGGTTTATTTGATAGTGACTACCACTTGAAACTAGGATCAGCTTCCAGTCGTTTCAGAGACTTGTCATCCTAATTAATTGATTTTCACATTCAAACATAAATCTAGCACTCATGATTTGAAACCCCTACTATATATATCGTAAAACAAGACATAAGCTTTGTCGTAATTCATGGTAATTGCTAGTTAAGTCACTATGAAACGAAAAGTTTACCTGATAAAAACTTTGCTTCGTGATTTGATTGAAATGAATTGGAGGTAGTATGCCTGCAAAATGATCATTTCTTTGTGACAGTTGTTGATCAGTGGCATTAAATTAAACTGCCCTCCAAACTCCATTAGTGAGCTTTCCAACGTTTCATAAGGTAAATGTTTAGTGTTCTGCTCACATTCAACAGTACACTGCATGCAATTGGATTGTTTAAAGGTTACTGTCTTCAGTAGGAATTCATAAAGTTAATAATTATTTGATTGAATTATACAAGAATGTGCAGATACCCAGAATGAGGTCAAAAAGAAGTGCTTTATAATCAAACACTCCCTATATCTCTGACCATTATGAACTCAAAAGCTAACACAAGTAATCTTAAAGGTATAAGCTGAATACCCGACCAAAGAATAAAGTGCTACTTCGTTTAGATTGTACTGGCGTATATATTGTCGGTTTGCACAGACAGACAACAGATGCATTTCTAATATAAAAGTTCGCAATAATTCATATAAAAAGAGGAGGCGTTCAGAGGAGAGTGATATTATTTTCATATTATACAATCGCTTATATTCAGTACATTCTCGTAGCAACGACCGTTAAAAGCTCAAGTTTAAAACGACGATTACGTAACACAGAAGGCATTAATCAGGTAGAAAACAAAATAAAACAAGTAGGTTGGGTGACGTAACACATTTGTCATGATTGAGTAGAGCTCAACTGAAATTGCAAAAGTGTCAAGTTAACATCACCACCATAAGGAGTGAAAATGTTATAGTGGAAAAGAAGAAAACATGAAAATTGAAAAAAACAAACTAGGAATAACAAAAATTACATACCGAATGTAGAGACAGGCCCAGTGACCAAACAAACTTCTTCTCTATGCAGAGTTCAGAATTTAACAGGTGCATTGCCATAGCTACTGTGATTTGTTAAAGTTTGATTTGTACTCCTTCGGCGAAATTTCCACGTACTCTATAGGTAAATCTAAATTTGGTTTGCGAGTTTCCATCATGTCTAGAATCGATCAGTTGCTTCGTTCTTTTTCGCCCCCTTAAAGCCATGGGGGTAAATGTTCGATGATACCTGTGGATAGCAAACGCAGAGTATGGCCGACATGTCTAGCTCCACAGGAGCAGGTAAACTGACACATACACGATGATTAGGCCAGCAGAGGTGGCTTATCCTTCATGTTCAAACGAATTATTGGTTATGTAGAGACGGAGAGAGTAAGGTTGAGTTGTAGTTCTTTCAAATAACTTGATTTCCTAAATTCCCCCCCCCCCCCTTTCATGGAAAAAAATAATGGATACTAACGTTTTTAGAAGACAACACGACTGATTGAAGAAATACTTACTTTTCAATTATATCGTCGCCTATTATTCTAATAAACATAGTAATTTTAATACAATGCTGAAAATTACCAGTCTAGTAGTAATAAGTTTGTTAACAATAATCAGTCAGAATGTCAAGTAGGTGACAATTAACCAGTGCAACACCTAGCAGATAGAAATCTGTGCAAAAATTGGGCATGTGAATTACACTATGCATAATTTTGGAAAATAAATAAATGAGTGTTCAAAACCGATTATGTGATAAACAACTAAAGATGATGTAAATAATTAGAAAAAAACATTAACTTGTAAATGGCTTTGGAGGGGGGGAGGAATTGTCTGTTTTCTACATTCAGGTAATGTTGGCCAGTGTGATGAAAATGGCTGTATGAATTTCTTTTGAACACACAGATTAGGTGTCTTCAGGTGGTTTCAACTGTATGTAGTAGACGAACTCGTGAATCGAAATTAATGTTGGTCGAAATGAGATAAATAACTTTAAATGCTTTATCCGTATCAGCTTTATGCTCACTATCTACAAGGTGTGCCAAAATATTTTTTTTTTTCTTCACGTTCCCCAGTGGAACATAGGGCTTCAAGCTAGGGGCTTGAAGTTTCGGTAGCAGTGTTTATTTTACAGGATGGGGTTGCTAGCCTCACGCCCAACCTTTCCTCTTCACCAGCATTATTTCTGGCTTAGCGAGGTAAAGGAGTGCGTCCAGCGGGGATCGAACCCCGGACCATGTGCGTGGTCGGCGAGCGTCCTAACCGCTATACCACCGACGCACGTGCCAAAATAATACTGCCTACAAATCTAGTTTTTCCCTTGCTTAACTATGTCCAGTGATGTTCGGACATGCCTAATTGTCTCGTCTTGACATCGCTGTCTCTAGTACTTAATGATGCAAGTTTAAATGTCTAAATAGGTGTCAGTTCTTAAAATTCACACGAATATCTTTTTAACGGGTTCCATACTGCACAAAATCCTGTTTGAATATACCATCTTGTTGGGTGTCTCCGGCTGTCAAACGTCCATCGAAATGCATCGCACTGGTGATTCTGCTAGCATGGTGACAGCATCTCAGAGATGCTCGACAGAATTTACTTCACACTTGGGAACAATGTTAATCAGTCTGTAGCGATCAAATGAAATTTTTTTTTGCGTATTTTACAGCTGCCCACCAGTTTTTAGGTGCATTTCCCAGCACTGATCACAATTAATTATAGATTTTCCTTATCTTTCAATTTATTTTTAGTACGATTGGAGCAGTATTATACGTTGTCTACAATTATAAAGCTTCACAGAGCCAGCAACCGAAATCAGGAATCTTAGTTGGTTAGTTAACATCGCAAATGTTGGAGAATAGTAGCATATATTACCTGTAATATGTTCAGTTTGATTTTATCCCCTTTACCACTTAATCAAGTTTGTTTATCCCTTTTTTTAAAAAACAGGATGTTATTACATTGTATAAAATAAGAGATTTATGTGCATCTGTATTCACCCTATAAATATAACAAGTATAGTCTTACTATTTCTGACCTTTTTATCCGTATTCATGAAGACTTGCTTTTTGTTGTTTTGTAAGTAATAAAACAAGACATTATTTATCATTCTAGTTAAATTTGATTCCAAACAGTAAATATGCGATTGTGTCTCACATTGCCTTGCTTCAGTTATCAAGGTAACAGGACTGTTAAAAAAACATGCACTTTACAGTAACAAAGTATGTGGTGTATCACAATAATAATGTATCTTAACCAAGGCACATCCATCAGCCAGCTATGTTTAAAGTGTATTATCACTATTATTATTATTCCCTTGGCTTCCGACTGGAACATAGATATTCGACAACACATATCCACTGTGTTCTATTTTCTGCTGTCATCTTTAGCTCGGCCCACGATTGTCCGTAATCTCTCACTTCGTCCTCGCCACACGATCTCCATGTCACCCTCCCCCACTGACGACCACCTCGTCGTTTCCCACTGCGATTCCACCCGAGAGATGGCCTGCAAGGAGCGCGATGTCATTCGACTACCTTCTCAACATATAACCTATTCATCTCCATTTTCCTTTGCATATTTGTTGACCAATTACCTCTTGGTCGGTTTGTTCCCATAGTTTCTTGTTTCTAATTCTTTCTGGCCAGCCATCTGATCTTCATTATGGAGCCAGTGAAAGCAGCTTTTGATAAAAGTTTGCAGCAGTCTGTTGGAAATGCTTTTCGTGATGCACTGGCCGGGTTTCTGACCCATATAGAAGAACTGACTGACTTCACATTGCTGTTGAAAACCCGAGTTTTTTTTATGTTGGTTGAGTGGAGAAGATTTACAAACTGGTTTCAGATTGATGAAGGCGTATCTTGCCTTTCAGATTCTGACCAGATTTGATATCTTCATCCATCCCGCCTGTATTTCAAATAATGCTTCCTAGATAAGTGAAGGAAGTGAAGTGATCTATTTCGAATTTCTCCTGTTGATGGTGATTGCTGCTGGTTGCTGTTGCTGTTGCTGCGTGGTTATCTTCATCACCTCCGGCTTCTGTATGTTCACCTGGAGTCCTGTCTTCTCTAGCTACTTCTTCTGGCAGCGTGTTGGTTTTCGCCTGCAATTCTTTGAGTCTGTGTGACGTTAAACATAAATCATTTGAGAAATCCAGATCTTCTTAACGGCCCAACGTATTCCTGTCTTCGCATTCCCCACACACAGTGTGCCACATAATCCAGTCCACCACAATTAGCAATATCATCGGTGATAATAGGTGGGCACCCTTGCCCTACTCCTGTCTTCTCTCATTTCAAAGGTTTCTTTCAGTTTTCCGGTGTGGATCACTTGACACATGTCATTGTCATATAGCCAGCTGCTAAATGAGGTTGATAAAGATTTGGGGCACCACACTGCATAGTGTTGAAATAATTTCCAAATGACTTCTCTATCAACACTGCCGAAGACCTTTCCGAAGTCAACGTATACGTTTGACTGCCATTCTATGCTTTGTTCTGTGGTGTTGATGTGTAGAGTTGCAATTTGGTCAGCACATGATTTGACTTTCCTGAATCCAGCCAACTTTTTCCGGTGGAGCTGGCGGAGTTCTGCACCCACTGTATCCTTTGTCCTCTACAGGAAGATGTGACTGAGTATTTTATCTATTCCAATCAATGTCAGTAGGTACCTTTCCTTTTCTTTCCAAACTTTTTGCAATAATGGCGTGAGCTCATCTGCCGCGGTTTCTGCGTCCGTTTTCAGTGCTCCGGAGGGAGGGGGGAATTCCATCCAGTGCTGCTGCCTTACCGGTCAGCATATAGGAGCTTGATCGCATTCAAGATTTCTGCTTTAGTTGGAGGATTGGTGTCCACTGACAGGCAGTTGTGTGTGTGCTGTTGGTGGTATTTCTGAGCGAGTTGCAGATTATGGTCTATTAAAGAGTCCTTTAAAGTGATCAGCCTATTGTTTCATTTGTTTCTACTCCTTGGTAATCAGGGTCCACTGAACATCTTTTACTGGCTTCATCATCTCGGTTGGTCTCTTCTCGGATAGAGACCTGGTTATCTGATATCATGTCCTGAGGTCTCTTTTACCTGTGGCTTGCCTGTTCTGCTTCAGTTGCTAGCCAGTGTGTCGTAGAATTGTCGTTTGTCTTTCCTAGCACTCTTCTTTACTGCTTTATTCAGGGCAGTGTACATTGAACTCAGTTTCTCCTTCCGTTGTCTATCTTCGCATTGAGTTACCTTCTCTTTCAACATCCTCCTCTCCTCGATTAGCTTGGAGGTGTCCATTGAGAGCCATTCCTTGTCTTGTCCCTTCTGTCTTGATTAAACGGTGGTTTCCTGGAACTCACCTTCAAAGAGTTCCAATGTTCTTCCACGCAGGTTTTCTCAGTATTTTAAAACAATTAATTCCTTTTATAAATTTGCATAATATTATTAGAAGACGGAGATTATCTGAAAAATGTGATGTATCTGCGCAATACATTTCGAACAAGCTGATTACACATTTACTTATCAAGTCAATTTATATGGGAAATAAAAGGTAATTAAAGTACACAAAGTCAAAAAATGGATTTAAGAATAGTTAACACCACGTTTGCTTATCCCACCAGACAACCATTTCCAAGGTAGACTAAGAGTAATAATGAATTTTAAAACAGTTTAAATCAATAAAAAGACTTAATTTGTCAGAATCGTGTAATGCATTTGCACAACACACATTTCGAACAATCTGATCGTATACGGACTTGTTATAGGAATATACATGAAATTAATACAGAGTTAAGTGGTGAGAAAATGGACTTATGTCAAGTTAAAAGGACATATTGAAGGTCAAATAACAATGAAGATCACTAAACCAAATGAGAGAGGTAATAGTACATCTGCTATGATATCAAAACAAAGTTTACCAAGGAAGGTTTAGTGTGATGACGAATTGTTTTCGAAAGCATAAAGGTGGTTCAAACTTCCTGATTGCCAGCTAGGGTTTCCACAAACTTTAGGATACGCCCCAAACACGTTTTGTAGATAGTTTTAAAAGATGTGTAAACATCAATTTTATGTCCTGTCTCTATAATACTTTTCGCAGTATAGGAGCTGCGTTTCCTGTTCTCGCCATTAATGGGTTCTGGGAATTCTATTTGCTTCTACAGCCATTTAGGAATATCTCTAAATACTCCCATTTTTAATATTAGAACAAGACATAAGCGAATAATATTGTTTCCAATTAGATCTTCTGGCTTTACTCAAATTTAAATAGATTTATACATAACAACTTTAACCAATGACGGTGATTTTGTGGATCGAATAATCATAATAATAATAATGTGATAAATGTTTTGAACGTAGTTAATAACGATGATTATAATGATAACAAAATATTGATAATAAGGTTTATGCAGGTGGCGATAAGAATAACAAAGGTAGTAATATGTGTATATGTAGACAATCCAATAAATAAATTAGGTCAAATCTTAAAAGACGTGTAAATACCAATCTTATGTCTTGTCTCTATAATATATTTCGCAATATAGGGGCTGAATTTCCTGTTCTCACCATTAATGGGTTCTGGGGATTCTATTTGCTTCTGGAGCCACTTAGGAATATGCCCTGAATCCCTTACTTGCAGAGATCGATGCGTGTATGCACACGCATTGTTAATACAGTTGTTAAATACAGTGGGATGTGACATAATTTTTCGCATGTTCAAAGGGCTTAGATGGATGTATCAGCTTCACATTCTCAATTATTATGATATTAGCTGCATAAAAAGTCTTTTAGCAGCAGCATTTAATCTGTGTTTGGTTGTAAAACTGCTATGACGGTAGCTTGATGTACACGTCTTTCTTAGCGGCGAGTTGGAGAGTGGGTCCTAATGTTTTGACTACTTTATATCTTGAAAATCCCCATTGAGTCACATGAAAAAGAGAAGACGTTCAGCGAAGAGGCTCTTTATATCTCCTGATGAACTTGTCTGGATAATTGTTATCAACCAGAGTTTGTGCCAACTTTCTTTCTTCCTCATTAGGTGTGTCTTTGGTGCATATTCGTTGGATTCTATTGAAGAGGCACCTTACTAAGGCTCTTTTGTACCGAACAGGTCAGAGACTGTGATAATCAAGATGCTGTCCTGTCCAGGTAGGTCTTCTATAAATAGATCGTTCTATTGATCCATCAAACCGTCGACTGAGCAATATATCTAGGAAAGATAAACAATTATCTTCCTCTTCTGCACGAGTAATTGATATGCCATTCTGAACTTCATTCATTCGATTTAAAATTGAGGTGGAGAAACAAGTTTTATCACTCATGATTACAATGTCGTCGACATATCTTCTATAAAATGGCGCATTTTCGATTCAATCCTCCTATAAATTCTAAGTGTATGACATATAAATAGACATCTGCTAAAAGGAGCCCCAACGGACTTCCAATAGCCACACCATCAACCTGATGGAAGCAATCGCCTACAGATGTGAACCTAACATTACTAGTACATAGAAGTAATAAATCGCTTAGAAAAGATATAGGGAACGGGATGAAAAAGTTATGTTTGGAAATATAATCACACAAAATGTCAATTGTTTTTTAAGCAAAGGCACATTAGTGAATAAAGAGTTTACATTAAAAAAAATACATATTTTTATTCATAATATTAATATCGCCAAGATAATTAATTAACCAGTTCAAATGTATCTTTTAATACATACTTACAGAATTGTGATTTGACTGGGTGCAATAATTCTACTAACCATTTAGCAAGTTTTTTTCTCCGTCAGCCAATGAACGTTATACAAAACAGTTAGAATTAACAAAAAAGCCAATAACACATATATGGATGAACCTGTAGTAGATGATTTGATTCACGACAATTACTGCCTATACAGTAACAAAGGTTAACTTTTCAATTATAGCATTGATCATCATATTTATGTGTTACCAGCATTTCGTTGTACAATAAGTAGGAAGGTAAAACAACTGAAAAAAAGAGATAATGAAAGGTTATTTATGTCCTGGACAAATAATGCAGGTTGATCAAAGCTGAA